TGAATTAGATATAGCACAGTAAATATAATGAAAGACAATTTAAGGATATTTATTTCTAATGCTTCCTTTAGTACCTAAGAAACTATTGAAGTTAGATTTGTACAAAGGTCTCTTCCTCTTAGTGTAAAACACTGTGTTTAGTTCAGAGCATAGGCTTAGTTTCTAAAATTTTGGAGATAATCTACATCCCTCTGTATAATATTGTATTTAAGTCTGTGGCATTTGATTATGATGGGCAAGAATCAGGTGTGGGGCCCTTTGGGCAATAAAGGAACAGGTTTGTGCTTACAGTATTGGGTTATGGTCAAATGGTTACCAAGCCAGGGCTGAATCTTAAGTATCTGACTTTCTATTATACTGGTTCTCCTTATTTCTCTCTTTTAGGAGAATATTAACATTTTAAAATACTAATCAAAGTAGGTTAGCTTAGTCTAGAATACATTAATTTCAGAAACCCAGTGTACTTAAGTAAACATTATTATTTTTTTAATAAGAAAAAACACGTTGAAGCTTTGCCATTATACGAAAGAGCATTAAAGATTTATGAAGATAGCTTGGGTCAGATGCATCCTCGAGTTGGAGAAACATTAAAAAATTTAGCTGTGCTTAGGTAAGAATTTTTTTCACTTTCCTTATACAGCTTAACTCTTTTACTTGGAGTAGCTTTAATTTGTCTTACAACAGCACAAAATATTTATTGCTGAATGTTTTTTTCTTAGAGTGGGGAGGGGTTGTTTTTTGCTGATCAACTTCAAGAGATACTAAAGTAGTATCCAGAAGTGAAACGAAGGCTGCATGATCTATTTCGCAGAGGAATGTATGTACTTACCATGGTAAATAGTGAAGGATGGTTTACACTGCAACTGGCTCTGGGGGTAATACGGGTAATTTGCTGTGCTCAGAGTGAATTTGCCATTAAGTATATGTTGATTTTTGCTTGCTCATTTGTATTTTTCTCAGGAAGCAGAGAATACCTAACTTTCCTTAGCAATTTCACTGCCTCTATTACAACACAGTTTTAATGGTATCCATATGAGACATTAAAATACTGATACTGGTAGAAAGGAGAAGAGTTTGGGTATTGTTTTACTGGTCTCCTTGAGTGAATACACTGGAAAAGGGGTGAAGTTAGCAAATATTTACAACTTTTTTTTCTGTATCCCGTAAGGTCATTTTGAATTGGTAAGAGGTTATATTCTCATTTTAAGAGGTTTTTTTTCTCTCTCTCTCTCTCTCTCTCTCTCTGTCTTTCAAAGCTATGAAGAAGGAGATTTTGAAAAAGCTGCTGAATTATACAAAAGGGCAATGGAAATAAAAGAAGCAGAAACATCACTCTTGGGTGGAAAAGCTCCTTCACGACATTCATCAAGTGGAGACACATTTAGCATGAAAACAGCTCATTCTCCTAATGTTTTCCTTCAGCAAGGACAAAGGTAATAGCAGCAGTTAGAATTCTTTGCAAATGTACCTTAAGACAAAATCATTAAACATTTGGAACATTTGAATTTGAAACTTTAAAAGTTTTAAGAAATTTTACTATGTGTGATTTAACTGATATTTGTATGAAGTTGTATTGGACTACATTAGGTTGGAATTGGTTGTGTCTGTTTTGTTTAAAATAATTTTACTATCATATGGTATCCAAGGATATAGACACATTAGAATTCTAAGATGACATGAGGAGCAAATCATGAAGAGTGGATTGGTCTTTGTTCAAGAAGAGTTGGCAGAGCAGTTAATACAAGTTCAAGAATTCCATGAATACTTGGTCAGGGATGGTGGTTTATGCCTGCAATCCTAGCACTTTGGGAGGCTGAGGTGGGAGGATCATTTGAGGCCAGGAGACCAAGACCAGCCTGGATGACATGGCAAAACCCTGCCTCTACTAAAAATACAAAAAAAAAAAAAAAAAAATTAGCTGGATATGGTGGCACATCCTTATAATCCCAGCTCCTCAGGAGGCTGAGGTATGAGAATCACTTGAACTCGGGAGGTGGAGGTTGCAATGAGCAACCTGGGCAACCAAGCGAGACTGTCTCAAAAAAGAAAAAAAGAATTCCATGATTATTTTCAGCTCTCAAGAGCTGCTTTAGCCTTGCTGCGCCCCTTGCTTTTCAGCAGTAGTCTGTCCTAATTCTCTACCTCAAAGGAAAGTTTCAAGGATTAAAGGGATAATGTTCATGAAAGATTCAAGTTGTCTTCAGTGAAACAAATTAGTCACAAGAATCTCTGATAGCTGCATTTTAAAAAATTCTTTCTTCTACCCTTCCCTTGAACAGATTAGTTCAATCCCTCTGCTTTCTGTGCTTTCTACATTGTATATTATTTATTACTATATAGTATATGTATCTGTATAATGTCTGAAGTCTTAATGTAATAGTAACAGGTCAAGCTCCTTAGCATTCTTTGACTTTTTCCAAAATATAGACATGACATTCTTCTTTATCTTCCTTCTTAGATGGCCTAAATCTGTCGGTTCATTTACCTCAAACTCAAATTTGTTTGCCTTTTTTATACTGAAAATTAAATATTTATATGGATTTTATAAATATTGCCACATTTTGGATAGTTTTGAACCATTTGTGTATTTATATATAATGAAATTATCAATTTACAATACTTGTAAGACACTAACATGTATTAATTGTAAAAGTGAAAGATGTAATAATCACACTTCATTGTTTTAAAATAAAAGTGCCATTTCAAGTTGTTTTTTCCCTACTCTAGTTTATACAAGAGGGCTGTTTTGCATTAAGTTTTGAAGAAATACGTAGTTTATACAAGAGGGCGGTTTTGCATAATTTTTAAAGAAATATGTTGAACTTTTTTTTGAACAAAATGTTGTCAAAATTGCTGCTCAGTAGTTTGCTCAGCTTAAGGTTTTGGTTAATGTTCTCTAAGGTGTAGTTACTACTCACAGGGTGGTCTACAAACCATTATCATCTCACCTGGCAGCTTATTAAAAATTCAGACTCTCAGGCCTCTCCCCAAACCTAGTGAATCAATCTGTATTTTAGCTAGATCTCAAAGTGACTCATGTACACATAGGTGTGAGAAGCAGTGGTATAACTCTAAGTCACTGTAGTGGCAATTTAAAAAGGAATGAGGCAGTATATAATTAGCATCCTTCTTCCTCCTTTAGGAATAGTCCAAGAGGGAAAAATAGAAGATAAATTATAACCATAACATACCTTTCTGGGTTTGGCAGCTGTGAAAGACACAAAGTAATTGAACTCACAAATATACCAGACATTGATTTTAGAATTAAGCTGTTAGAGCTTAGAATTTGATTATTTAGTGGTACTAGGTAATTTAATACATAGCAAGTAATATGTTCAGTTTATCACCTTAGAAAAACTGCTTTAGAAAATAATCAGACCAGGACCCTGGAAGAACCCTGAAAAAAGGAAAAACTACCTTAAGAATATTATTCTTTATACCTCCAAAATTTGTGCTTGAGTAACTATAGTTGAGGACATATTGATCACTTGAAATTATGTATTCCAAAAGAATTAAATTTAAACATAATAAACTATATTTTGATATTACTACTTACTTTACTACCAACCCAAATGTTCTCACGTAGAATGCATACTTAAAAAGATAAAAATAGCTGGAACATCTTTGTGTCTGCATATTTGAAGTTCTCAAATAGGAATATTTATTCACATTAATATGTACCTTCATAATGAAAAAGGTATGTTTCAGACAACTCAATTATAAATCTGAATTGGTAGGGCACTTAATTATTCTAGTTATAATTTTCATTCGTCAATACCTTACAGAAAAGGAAATACAAAGAAAACATGATGCAGGGGTCAAAGCTTCCTTTAACAAATATTCTTAAGTGGCTATTGTTTTTTGTTTTGCTCAGTATAAATATCCAGGGAGTATTTTTTTTTTTTTTTTTTTTTTTTTTTTTTTTTTTTTTGGAGACGAAGTTTCGCTCTTGTTACCCAGGCAGAGTGCAATGGTGCGATCTCGGCTCACCGCAACCTCTGCCTCCTGGGTTCAGGCAATTCTCCTGCCTCAGCCTCCTGAGTAGTTGGGATTACAGACATGCGCCACCATGCCCAGCTAATTTTTCATATTTTTAGTAGAGACAGGGTTTCATCATGTTGACCAGGATGGTCTCGATCTCTTGATCTCATGATCCACCCGCCTCAGCCTCCCAAAGTGCTGGGAGGGAGTATTTTTCTGAGAAGAAACTAATAATACTTATTTTCCCTACAACATTTAACTAGAACCGTAACTAACTTCCCATTAACAATGAGATAGGAATTAAAGTTGAATATGTTGTTTTACTATTATTTAGAGTCTCTGTTCCAAGGCAATTTGGGGAGTGCTTTTCCATCTTTCCCGTTAGAATCAATAGTGTTTACAAATCTGGTCAAACGCTATGAGTTTATTTAGTAATACTAAATTCAATGAGATTAATTTTTCAAAATCAGCTGCCTTCTTATGCAAGTTTTCATGGCATGCCAACTGTCAAGAGAGTACTCTAAGATAGCAGCATATCTGCTACCAGATTTTTTATGGTAAAATAATCCAATTGTTTTTAATGAAAGATATTAGACAAAAAAGTTAGCTCAATTAGGTAAGATTTGGCACAGTGTAAGACACCAGCAGTGATGCAATGCCAACTTGAGAGCAGATAAAAGAAGACAGTGAATTCTAGATAAAATACTTTATCAAATCATAAAATTTTATAAAACCTTACATGTATGTGCAAGTTTCCAAAGGAAAATTATTTTTGAAAGACTGCATTTCATGTTTTAAATTCAAAACATCTCTCATACTGGAAAAGCTATTTTACAGTTGAATATGCTAAATTTTTTAAAGATAGTAAAAGACCCACCAAGGCAACACAGGTGAGTTTCAAGGCTAAAAAAATCTATCCTCCTGCTTTTCAGACTTCACTATAAACATGAGACTCATAGTATAATCCTAGCATCTCAAAACAATGTATTGAAGACATTTGATACTTGAGACTTTCTGAATTCAGTTTTTTGAACTTTATTTTACAAATCAGGGATGTACTTTTGATTTTTTACATTTTCCCCTAGAGATATAATTTAGATATTCACATCTTCAAAGTAAAAATCAGAATAGGAAATAAGCGCAGAAACATCCTACTGGTAATGGTTACGCCTGCATGGTATTTATTAGTCTCCAAACCATTGCAAATTCATTTCAACCAAGGTACTTAGGTGCAACTTCAGAGAAAGCTAATTTATATCAACTTATAGTTTAGCCATCATGATCAAGGGAAATGATACTCCTCCACTGACTACAAGTCTTTGCAGAGGCAATTTAGAACTGTTCTTTTATGCTCACTATACAGTACAAACCTTGCCAACATCTACTACCTTGAGAATCAAATTTAAATGAAGTATCCAGGAATAGCCTAAAGAATTAGTGTAATCTGGATGGATATTAATCTAAATTTATGCCTTGCTCTTCAGTAAAGTATAGTAACCCCAGATATATGTTCCACAGATGCAATAATTTCTATTCCTTGGTCAGTGCAGAATATAATTTATACTTCCTGAAAGCAACTTTGTCTATTCATGAAGATAGCTGCTTTTTATTTGCCTTTGTCTCCATTTGAATATATATATGCACAGGTTTACAGACTTTTCCAATAGCTACATTTCAACTTGTATTTCATTAGCAAACATTTGAGAGGATGTTACTTCATACATTAACTATTTTAAACTGATTGTTGATCAAGTTAGTAGTGGGCAATTTTATTATAGAAAGCAGTTCCAGACATAATGAGCAGATATTTGCTAGCTCTAATCAGTAAGCTGTATGCCTTGTCCTTCTGCCTTTATCTAGGGACCATGTGCTGCTTTATTGTCCATATCCTCATGCAATAGACAAAAGGGATTAAAAAAAAAAAAGAGATTTGAAAGAAAAAGATTACAGGTTCAGATTTGCCTTCCCCCACTCCAAAAGGCCAACACATTTCAATAGCTATGTTTTCAAATAAGATTTATATCCTACAATGTCCTCTGAGGTTTTCTTACTAGAATGGAACATACATTTTAGGAGAGTTAATGATTTTGTTGGAGTGGAGAGAAACAAGCAAGTCACAGGATTTTCAAAAACTAACAATTCAGTTAAGAGTATATATTCCATGTGTGTACCTACGCAACTGTCTTGCATGCTCTGCTCATGTACCCCAAAACCTATAATCCAATAAAAAATTAAAAAAAAAAAAAAAAGAGTATATATTAATTAATGTTGCCTAAGTTTTATCAGTTAAAAAATTTGTTTTTAATTTCAAGGGAAGAGGCTTTAACGTGAAAAATAAAATATATGCCAGTCCATTATCTACATATTCTTCATCTTGGCCATGAGATCTTCCAAGCTTTCACCAGAATCTTCCACTGTTACCTCAGTGACAGAATCTTCTTGCTATTGACAAGTAAGGGAAATAGAGTGAAAAAAAAAGAACCATCCAGAATTCTTGATGCTTAGGAATATATAATCAGTAAGTTCTGACCATGCTCAACAGGTTATAAAGTAAATTTTCTTTAACAAATGTCTTCTAATTTTTAGAAGAAAGACAGTCTTTTGCATTCCCCACCATTCTGTTTATATACAAGGCAGTAATTTCAATATTCTTGACCACTCTAGTTTTTTTAAATGGTATTGTAGTTAAAACTACCAATATACAAAAACGAGATCTTCATTTAATCAAAATCTATTATGCTTAAATCTATTAATCTATTAATGAGTGAACAAAACCATTTTACTCCATGTTTTAAAAGAATTTAAAATAAGCTATAAATATCTGCATATTAACAATACCTCTCTTTCTCACATCTTAATGCCTATAGCATAAAATACCTAAAACGGGAAATTCTTCATTGGCATTACAAATTAGAATGAAGATGAAAGAAGATAAATATTTTCTCTTATGTGGTATTTACATATGGGTAAATCATATTTTTGAAATACCTTTTTTGGAATTGTATATGCCACTGTAATTCCTTCAGGTAAGTCTGGAACTGGACCTGAAGAATTTTTCAGTTCCTCTTCTGAAACCTCAGATACCAGCTCAATACCTGCAAATTTGATCCTATATCAGTTTTTAAGGAATTTAATAAGCAATAAGTATTTAATTTGTATAATCTTGTTAGATTCCTTACCATAAAAGGCTTTGCTTTATGCTGCCATTTCAATATATAAAAGAACACCTACCCCATTCATTATCTTCATGGATTATCTCTTCCTCTTCCTGTATAACCTCTTGTTTGGGCAGTGATGCCACCTTTTTCTGTAGAAATCAAACAGCATCAAAGTGTTCTTACTCATTCTCAGTTCTCTGAAGCATTAATCAAGAATTCAGACAGGCTTTTTATCTTACCAAAAGCAAGAAAGAATGTTCATTTTTGAAGTATAGTGAATAAGTTAACACTATAAAAATACAGAATCCATTTATCTTGTATTCCAAATCTGCTTATTTATTCTCCTATGCAATATGATCCCTCATGCACTCTAACAGATTGCCATATACCTTATATTCTTCCTGCTGCTTCCTGCAATTTCTGTCATCACACTGAGGATTTGGCTTCATGGACATAGTAGGAAAAAAATCCTGCATTGCATTGTATCCAAGATAAAAACTAACAGTACCAAAATTTAACAGAAACCTAGAAAGACAAATCAAAATAGATTTAAATAAAGAAATTAAAACCAGGAAAAGTACTGGAATAGCTAAATTTTTAAAAAAATAACTTTGAAATAGGTGATGATTTTTTTTTAACCAGAAAACAGAAATTTGCATCCGAGAAACAGAAATTTTCTCTTATTTACATTGCCTGGCTCATAGTAGATGCTTTAATGTTTATTGAATGAAGGAAAGAAAAGATTACTCCATTTCATCAACTGTAGAACATACTACTTTTTGAACCTCTAATATAAAGATAAAATGCTGGCAGCTAAACTATGTCAACAACTTAAAGAAGTGTGCTGATTTCAGAGAAGTTAAAATGTGGGAGAAGTGTATTTTTTAAATCCCTGAGATATGGTACTAAATCTAATTAAATTTTAAAAATTGTATGTGACTTATTATAAAATGTACAATTTAAATATATAGCTCAATAAAATTTTGTGTGAGTCTTTCATGTAACCATCACCAGATCAAGATACAGAGCATTTCCAGTATCCGATGTACCTCCAGCTCCCTCCTACCCTCTTCCCAGTCAAATCTGATACTTTTTACTCTGTTGCCCAGGCTGGAGTGCAGTGCCATGATCATGGCTTACTGAGGCCTCACCGTCCCAGGCTCAAGCAATCCCATCTCAGCCTCCCAAGTAGCTGGGACTACAGGCAAGCAACACCTCACTTGGCTAATTTTTGTAATTTTTTTTTTGTAAAGACGGGGCTTTGCCATGTTGTCTAGGCTGGTCTGGAATTCCTGGGCTCAAGCAATCTGCCTGCCTTGGCCTCCCAAATTGTTGGGATTACAGGCATGAGCCACTGCACCCAGCCAATCTGATGTCTTTTATTAGATTGGCACAAAAATAATTGCAGTTTTTGTCAAAAGTAATGGCAAAAACTTTAATTACCTTTGCACTAACATCATAAAAGCTTCTACACAGAGAAAATCACATAAAAAAATGACAAAAGAAAAATATTTGCAAATACACATTCTTAATATACAAGACAAAAAAGAGCAAAGACTATTAGCAGACAATTCACAGAAGAATGTAAGTTTTCATTTTTCATAAATAAAAATTAAATGCCTATTTTTTTTCCACCAGAATGACAAAGATTACAGAGTTTGATGATATCCAAAGTTATCAAAGGTATGGGTGAATTCTAAACTATGATACAAATGTATAATCCTTTTGCAGAAGAAATTTAGTAATCTTTCTCAAAATAAATATTTCATAAATTCGGAAATTCTACTTTAAAAAACTTGTACTATAGGCTAGGTGCAGTGGCTCATGCCTGTAATTCCTAGCACTTTAGGAGACCGAGATGGGCAGACTGCTTGAGCCCAGGATTTCAAGACAGCCTGGGGAACATAGAGAGACTCTTTCTACAAAATATTAGCTAGACATGGTGGTGGGTGCCTGTAGTTGCAGCTAACTGGGAGGCTGAGGTGGGAGGATCACTTGAACCTGGAAGGTGCAGAGTGCAATGAGCCAAGATCATACCACTGCACTCCAGTCTGGGTGACAGAGTGAAACCCTGTTTTCAAAAAAAAAAAAAAAAAATTGTACTATAGAAAACTCTAGGCTGAGCATGGGGGCTCACGCCTATAATCCCAACACTTTGGGAGACTGAGGTGGGCAGATCACTTGAGCTCAGGAGTTTAAGAGCAGCCTAAGCAACATGGTGAAACCTTATCTCTACAAAAAATACAAAAATTAGCCAGCCATTGTGGCATGCACCTGTACATCCAGCTACTTGGGAGGCTGAGGTGGGAAAGTCACTTGAGCTCAGGAGGTTGAGGCTGCAGTGAGTCATGATTGTGCCACTGCACTCCAGCTTGTGCAACACAGTGAGACCTTGTCTCAAAGAAAAAAAAAAGATTGATCTAATATTCAAAGATATATACAAGATGTAGTCTACAGCATTGTTAATAAAAAAAAAAATTAAGTAGCCTAAATGTCCATTAATAGAGGGGCTAGCTAAATAGGACACATCCTTAAGAGAATACTTTGTTAGCCTAATTCTTTTCTCCTTGTTTGCATCATACTATAAAATGTTTATTTAGACAGGGCCTCCTGCTAAACAGGCTATTTGCTCTTATATGAAATAGCCCTAGGCCATTACCTTGAGAGTTTATATGTATGCTTTTTACAATTTCTTTATTAGCAACTGACACTTCTTATTGATTGGTGCCTCCATATGTCTTGTTGCAGTTTGTTCTTACTATATTGGAGACTTAGGAAATACAATTAAGCTTATTAAAGTTGTAAAATGAGGGAAATAAATGGCCTGAATTAGAGAATACCTAAAGGCACTCTGCTTTTAATAAAGTATGAGTTAATTCATAAACTCTGACAAAAATTTTAGCAGCAAAGAAATCTTTTTCCTTCTTTTTAGCTGTAGTTTAAATTGTATAGTTGCTGGATATTTGTTTTTGGATAGCAGAGATATCCAAAAGCAGATTTAAAAAATCTGTTCGAAATAATTTTAAGTATTATTACTGTGTTTTATATTAACACTAATATAAATGTTAACATTTACATTTTATGTACATGTAAATGTAAAATTTACAGTAACAGTAATGGAACATTTTATTACATTAACAATTATTACTGTTTAATCACATTTGGGTTATTTTTGGTAAGACTTCTATCAAGATAGTAGAAGCAAGTGTGTTTAAGTCTCCACCCACAGGTCAAACTTGCAAAGATTTAAATCATTTGGTTAATGCTTCATAAATAAATATACCACTACCATTGTATCAGTTAATAAGAGCTATTCCAAATGAAGGGAGTAACTGACATTCATATGTATTCATGTAGGAATATGCACACATTTTAATATATGTAACAATATAGCTAGATATGAAAAGTAGACATATAAAATAGGATTTACACATATACATATATAAAACATTAAAACTACATTGAAGTTTTAAGTAGCCAAATTAAATATTTAACTGGTAATTTCAATTTCTGAAATGCTTTGTGAAATATATATTTTTTGAAAGCATACAAGCTGTTCAGAAAAATTAGCCCTGACTTACTTTAACACGTTTTGTACTAAGATCCCGGCAACAACACCCATAGTGGTAGGAAGACTGGCTGCACAAACACCTTCTCGTTTCAGAGTCTTTTCATCAATATTTGCAGCAACTACAAGTGGTGGAGCACACTACATGAAAAAGAATAAAAGAAAACACATTTCAAAAAAAAGAGAAAAAGTATGAGATGTTCCAAATAGTACTCCATCCCCATTCATTTGTTTTTTCTTTGAACTGTAATATATTTTCAAAACCCCAAAGAACTCGAGTACCTAATAGTAAATAATAATCCAAAAAGAATAATTCATACCGCAAAACAAGCAGATTCTCCAGGAATTATGAGCTGTATATGCCCTGAAACTGCATTTTCACTGACCCCAGATTCCATCCATGTTTGTCCAAGTTCATTACAAGCCTTAGTAGAAATGGGTGAAAATATAAGAAAAAAAATAAAAGCAAGAAGTAATTTACAATAAATTATTTTAACTGAATGAATTACCAAGGTCTTTTAAAATTAATTTTCAGAATAAATGAGGAAAGTCATGAGATAATGCAATTCCTTGGCAATTACCATTCTCTGTTTAAAGTGACAGTATTCAAGATGTAGTCAGTAAATATTATTAAATTGGATCAAAGTTTATTGGCTTTCTTGTCAAATTAATATGAAATTTCAGTTTTCTAAAATAATTTCAGAAACAAAAAAATGCTAAAATATCATCTGAAAAGTTAAAACAATATTCAAAAGAAAAATATTTATTTTTATTTTTGAGAAACCATGTTTTCAGGCAATTTATATATATTTATACATTTATAAAATCAAGCAACAAAAGTTAAAACTAATGCTGACCAAGAATTATTATAAGATACTAATTTAAGAATTATACATCAGAGGTATTTTTTATAGTTTCCTCTACCAGCAAAAAGAGTAGAATACTATAACACATGTCACACCAGCAAGGCTAGATAGGTCCCACAGCTATTGGAGTAGATTTTAAGAGGAGGCTTAAAGAAAACATTACAAATAAAACACATAAAAGGGTTTATATTCAGAACTATTTTTAGGATGGGGATTATATACTGATAGAATATAAAGGAAAACAGATAAATCCATGAATATATCTTACACAGCAGGAATACTCACTGTATTTATTGTCATTCGAGCTTCAAAATTGTCCACACAGCTAAGAACTAGATCAACAGGTTTTCCTTCTTCTAACCCACCATTACTAGTCAAAGAAAATAAATTTGAAAAACATTAGGATACAAAATTCACGCTAATACATTATACTTATTTGTCCAGTCTGACACTTATTCTTTCATTAAATGTTTGACTATAATTATCACATAGTAAATTTGTACTATTAAAGATATCATATATCAAGTATTGAGTAACTTATGAATATAACATCAATGATACTGTAGTATTACTTCTTTTACAAGAACTACAAGGGTGAAGGAAGTATACCAGTTTTCACACTTTTATTCATGCTTCACTACAAATTTAAATGTAATAAAAGCTAATTGAATGCAATTATTTCAGTGGTGGTCTGACAGTCTCTGAAGAAAACCATTTCAGACAGAAATATAATCAACACGGAACTTAAAATTGACAGTCTCTTCTGTTGTAACTTATAGGGGTTTTGCTTGTTTGCTTTTTAATTGTTTTTGGACAATATATACCTTCAAATGATATTCTAAAACATAAAAATTACACAAAAATTACTGTCTTAAAAAATGGAAAAATATATATCAATCTACCATTCATAGGATGAATCCATAGATTTTTCTAATAGATTTTCTAATATTTGAGCTGAACATTATACAAAATATTCATAAATTAAAATTTTACCTTATTCTATCCATGAAATGTTGAAAGTTTTCCACTGTAGTTATATTGTAGTTGTGTACTTCAAAAAGAACATCAGGATTAATGTTCCTAAGAAAGAAAAAGGGAATGATTACAAGTCTGTAATCCTAGCATTTCAGGAGGCTGAGGTGGGAGGATCACGTGACCCCAGGAGTTCAAGGCAACAGTAAGCTATTATTGCACACACTGTACTCCAACCTGGGGGACAGAGCGAGACCCTATCTCTAAAAAAAATGTTTTATTTTGAAACGGAGTCTAGCTCTGTCACCAGGCTGGAGTGCAGTGGCAGGATCTCAGCTCACTGTAACCTCCTCCTCCTCCCTGGTTCAAGCAATTCTCCTGCCTCAGCCTCCCAAGTAGCTGGGATTACAGGCACGCGCCACCATGCCCAGCTAATTTTTGTATTTAAGTAGAGCTGGGATTTCACCACGTTTGCCAGGATGGTCTTGATCTCCTGACCTCGTGATCCACCCACCTTGGCCTCCCAAAGTGCTGAGATTACAGGTGTGAGCCATGATGCCTGGCCAAAAAATGTTTTTAAAAAGACTACTAGTAGCTGTAATAAGAAAAAGCTGTGAGAAAAAAAGATGAAAGAGCTAAAGGGCATTTCACATACCTTAGAGAAGCAGAATTCAAGCTATTCAAAGAAAACCCAAAGTCCTTTTCTCTTGTATCCCACACTTCAAGGCTAGGTTCATTTGTGTCATAAAGATTACAAAACTGTTCCCACCCCTATCAGTCTAAGTGCAGGAATTAAGACTTTACCATGTCCAGTAACTACATACAGCTCAGCCTCACTTCCTTATTCAGTTAAGAACAAATTTGGGGCCACTAAAAAGTTCCTAAAGCAGGAATTGGCAAACTGTGGCCCATGGGCCAAATCTGGCCTGCCACCTGTTTTTGTGCAGTCTTGAGGCTCAGAATGTTTTTTTCATTTTTAAATGGTTAGGAAAAGAATCAAAAGAACATTTTATGACATATAAAAATTGTATCAGCCAGGCACGGTGACTCATACCTGCAATCCAAGCATTTTGGGAGGCCTAGGTGGATGAATGGCTTGAGTCCCAAGAGTTCAAGAACAACTTAGGCAATATGGCAAAACCCTATCTCTGCTAAAAATACAAAATATAAGCCAGGCATGGTGGCACATGCCCATAGTCCCAGCTACTCAAGAGGCTGAGATGGGAGGATCGCTTGAGCCTGGGAGGTGGAGGTGCAGTGAGCCAAGATTGTGCCACTACACTGCAATCTGGGTGACAGAGTGAGATGCTGTCTCATAAACAATTTTTTAATTAAAAAAATTAAAACTTGCATGAAATTGAAATTTCAGAGTCCAAAAATAGAATTTTATCAGAGCACAGACATGCTCATTCGTATTTGCGTTGCCTACAGCGGCTATCACACTATAACTAACAGCTGCAACAGAGACCCTCTGGCCCTCAAAGACTAAAATATTTATTATCTAGCCCTTTACATAAAAAGTTTGCCAACCCATGTCCTAGAGGCAAGAAAATTCTTTGTACAAGTGAAGTCTGCATTTAATAGAGAAAAATTCAGATCCATTTCTATTAACTCATATCAAATACATAAAGTAAGATTTCATTGAATATGGTTCTTGATTGCTATTCCATTTACCTCAAAGTATGTTCTGCTGCTTGAACTTTACTTAATCCTGCTTGATGAGGTTGGAAGAAAAGTCTATTCATATTGGCTAGTTCCACCTTGTCATAATCAAAGAGTAGCAACTAAAATGAAAATAGTGGTATTCTGATGAAAAACATACCAAAAAAACTAAAAATACCAAAGAATAAATTAGCTTTACATTTAATTAGTTTAATAATTTGATAATATTAGCTAATTCTGAAACACCAGGTACCGTATATTAATTTGTTCAATGCTAATATGAGGTATATAGGTACCATTATCCTTACTTTAGAAATGAGGCAACTGGAACACTTGCCCAAAGGCCACTCATCTAATATGAAGTGAAAATTCAAATTCAAGTATTCTCAATCTAGCATCTGCACCTCAACCACAATGCTTTGCTGCCTCTCTAAATGATTCATTCAGAAATTAATTCCCTTTCATTCCATTTTTTAAAACTGTGCCAAAATCCTACTTCATTTCCATTTTTTGGCTAAAAGCCAGGAATCCATTGGCTAAATGAAATATTTAAATAAGATAAAAACAAATGCTGTAACTTAAAATACAGTATAACCTGACTCTTTTGTGTAGATGACAAAATATATACCAATGACATGGCTAAAGCATTATTCCAAACAAAATTACAAATCAGTTAACTGTTTCCTGCTATATAGTTAAGCCTGTTTCAAACAGCATTTGTCTCTCTCTCTCTCACACACACACACATTAAAATGGCCATTAGATCACATTTCTTATCAATAAGAACAGGCTAGAGCCAAGGACTTCCTAAATCCCTTCTTGATATGAAATTCTGTGACTCTGTAACACAATTCTCATTATACTAAATAATAAAAACAAAAATGGGATTTTCTTCTCAATACAAAAACTAAAAAGAAAAACCTCAACCCATAACACCTAGGTAGCCCTTAATACCTTGCTAGAAAAGATCTCACTCTCTCCATAATTTTCTAATCCTACTTAAGAGTCTCCAAAACATAGTTTATTTAAGCTCATCAATAAATATGTATTAGGTCAGGCCAAGTGTTACATTTTAGTTTCTGCCTCATAGCTTGTTTATGCATAAGTTGCAGTAAACACTAAACTTGGGAACAGAAGGTCTGAATTGTAACTCTGCCATTAATTAGCTCTGACTGGGGGTAAATCACTTCCACTTTTTAGGCCTGTATCCTCATCTCTAAAATAAAGCAGGAAATCTAGATCTAGTGATCCAAGGCACCCCATATACTTTCAAGAGATCCCAGAGCCTTTTAGGGATAAAAAATGGACTCTGGGTCTTGTAACATCTTCTACTTTCCTATTTAACCCCATTAATTTGCTTCGTATTTATCTGTTTTACAAATTAAAGAAAGACTTCCTGAAACTTACCTGTGTAGATTCTCAGTTTACAAACTTGAGGGCGCACTGGAATCACTTGGAGAATTTTTAAAAATACAGATGTCTGTGCCTCATCCCCAGATAGTCTTATTTACTCATTATGGGGTGCAGTCTGGACACCAAGACTTTTTTAAAACTTCCCAGGTGACTCTACAGCAAAATATGATAACTACTGTTCTATTCTAGCTCTGTGCTACTCAAAATGTGGCCTGGTCTAGCAGCATTAGCACCACTTGGAGCTTGTTAGAGATGCAAGAGCACTTCTCCAACTTTAATGTGAAAATGAAACATTTGGGGATCGTGTTGAAATACAGATTCTGATTCAGTATGTTTGGGGTAGGTATTGAGAGATGATACTGATGTTACTACTTGATACTTGGAGTAGCAAGGATCCAGTGGTTCTTACTAGTGTAGTCCTAGGAACATCATCATCAGGATCACCTGGGAGCTTGTTAGCAATGTCAATTATTAAGTCCACCTGACACCCTATAAAATCAAAACCATCAGAGTAGGATCTGTTAATCTGTGTTTTAATAAGGCTTCCAAGTGATTCTGATAACATACTCAAACTTGAGCGCCACTAATCTCAATGATCTCTATGATCCCTAGTCCATCAGTCAGGGTGCTTAAGTCAGCTATGAGCAATTTTTGTTCTGCTTTTGTAAATCTTTTGAAAGATATTAAAATTTCAATAAACATTTCTAGTATTTTGGTGTTTTTATTTCTATATTGGTAAGTGAGTGCCAATTTTGAAATCATTTTAAGAATTTGGGGATAGACCAACATATTAGAAAGTACTGGTAAACTGTGGGAGAATGCTTGCTTTACCAGAATGACAAATTAAAGGATATGTAATTGTGGAAAGCTTATCTATTAAACCATTACGTGTCTACTATCATAGACTTTGGCTTTATAAATCTAAGATTGGTAGATTGAATTCTGGTATAAGAAAGTTACTTCTTTCTACTCATAATCCAAATGAATTTTAGAAAAAAGTTAAAATGTACCATTTTAAAAAATCCATCCAGAGCATTCTCTAGTTCAAATTCAAGAGTAAGAAAGGTCTGGTATATGTTTAATAAAATATTTGTTATATGTTTCAGTGTTTCATACACTTTATCAAATAACCTTTTTTCCTAAGCTTCTATATCTAAAACACTTAAGTCCAAATCGTTTACATTTACTTCAACAGAAACGTTTCTAAACACAATCCTTGTCTAATTAGCAATAATAACACCTTTTGTGTAGGTGGGATATGTCTCAACCCTTTGAGTAGAAAGAACAATCTAGATTAATACACTGCAAGTCAATAAGCCATTAGTAATGAAAAAAATCCTAATTTGTACCTGATTTACTCCAGGAGTGAGTAGTTCCCTATATGATAGGCAAAGAGAAATGTTTTACCTTACCAATGCCACATCTTGTCAGCATTTCAGCAGTCACACTACCTACTCCACCAACACCTACTATGGCTACAGCAAAGGTACGGATTTTCTGTGAAATACAAAATAATATGTGTTGGTTAATAGCTCTTCATCAAATATGTCAACAGAAGCTATTTTCATTTATTGAACTCATTTTACAAAAACTTGGAAAGGGTTTATCATACCTCATAGTTGCTTACAATTCCCATTCGTTTCAATGCCATCAAGCGGCTTAAAACAAAGGAGAAAAAATGTTTTAAAGCTTACAGTCTTTTAAGTGATAGTAATACAAAGAGATATGTATCATCACAGAAAATAAACACCAAAATATCATCATTACTAATCATTTCAAACAGAAGGATGCTTACAGGCTGGTTTTTACCAAATGAAACTAAACTACCCAGATAGCTTTAAAAACTCTCCCAGGTGAAGCCTATGAAATAAGATTGGTTTTTAAAAGCTATGTATTCGGATTTACAGCCAAGATTGTGACTGCTACTTAAATGCTAAAGGTCAAAGTTAAATTTCAACATTTTTCTACGTTTTGGTAGAATACATAAATATTTAATGTTTTAACACTCAGATCTCCATCATCAGAGTAAACTCATGGCTGGAATTCCATTCTCTTGTTGCCTCTGCCCACAATGGATGATGTCTAATTTTACTAAGCTCCTACTATATGCCAAAGACTCTAAGAGGTGTTTTAACTAGTTACTGGCAATCTGCAGTTTAAGTCTATAATTAACTCATTCATTTTCACTTTAAGGAGTCAGATGGTTTCACCAGGCTTGCTGGGAAATTCAGCCACCACCCCCATTTTCCTCTCCCTCACTTTTAACCCTATCACCGTCATATTCCTAAATACCATGCCAACATTGTTATTTCTTTTCAGTTTTAGTCAATTATCTGAATCAGATTTTGCTCTCATCCCTACTGCACACAGACATTTTCCATCCCACCAACCTCCCAATAGTGTTCATATGGTCATCTTGGTTAGATGTTAACTCTTCACATCTGGGCCAAGCAATATATTAAAGCTTACCCTTTCCTCTAATCCTCACCCCTGAACTTAATAAGTATGTTTCTCTTGATGCTTAATTTCCTGTTTTTTCACAAATTCAACCCCAACTTTCCACTAATTTTCTAAAATTCCTCTAGATACAGTCATATGCATGAAGCAGTCTATCAATTTCATCTTCTTAAAGATATATCTCCTAGAATCTGACACAGTGTCTGTCTCTAGACTTACTGCACATACAGCTGCCTTCCTAGAATCTTCCTTCATCATTATACAACATTTCTTAATTTCTTTATTTTGTGTTAACCCCACTTCCTGTATGCCATAACTCACTAGTTCTAAAGTGTCTGTGGATCAGCAACATCATTGCCTGAGAATTTGATAGAAATGCAATTTTTTAGGCCCTACCCTATAATTATTCACTGAATCAGAAATCTTGGATGTGGAGTCTAACAATTTGCTTTAACAAGCCCTCCAGTAATTCTGATGCACGTGAAAGTTTAAAAGACTCTGTCAACAGTTATTTTTAAACTTACTCTCTTGCTGTGGTTAGAAGATCATCTTCCAGTAGTTTTGCAAAGGGTACAGCAGAGGTAAATTTTAAGAACTTTCATGTCTGAAAATGTTCCTTATCAAAATTATATTCTTTATAAAAATGACAAAGCAAAGGGCATATAATTGTGGGAAGCTACATATATACTCTTAATTGATAGTTTAACTTGGTATAGAATTCTAAAGTTAGAATTGTCTTTCAACATTTTAAGGTAATGCTGCAGTGTCTCCTAGCTTATAAAATTTCACAGTATGCCTTAATGTGAATCTGTTCTCATCCCTTGTGCTGAGTTTTTAGTGTACGCTTTCAAAATGAAAACTCACGTTTTCAGTTCTGGGAAATTTCCTTGAAGAATCTGGTTACTTCCTTGTTTGGTTTGCTTTTCAGACTGTCTGGAAGTCCTATTATTTGGAATTTGGACCATCTGGATTTGTCCTTTATTTTCTTTCTTCAATTATCTATCATTTTAGTTATCTGCTCTATTCTCTGGATGATTTCTTTCAACTTTATTTTCCAACACTTCTGTTGAGATTTTCATTTCTATTACTGTCTCCATTTCAAGAATTCTTTTTTTTTTTTTTTTTTTTTTTGGGGACGGAGTTTCGGTCTTGTTACCCAGGCTGGAGTGCAATGGCGCGATCTCGGCTCACCGCAACCTCCGCCCCCTGGGTTCAGGCAATTCTCCTGCCTCAGCCTCCTGAGTAGCTGGGATTACAGGCACACGCCACCGTGCCCAGCTAATTTTTTTGTAATTTTAAGTAGAGACGGGGTTTCACCATGTTGACCAGGTTGGTCTCGATCTGCCGACCTCGTGATCCACCCGCCTCGGCCTCCCAAAGTGCTGGGATTACAGGCTTGAGCCACCGCGCCCGGCCAAGAATTCTTGATCATCTAAATACTTTGCACCTTTTTCCTATGTCATTTGTACCATATCATCTCTCATCTGAGGATACTAATGATAATTTGGGGGGATCTGTTTCTCTTACATAGTCTATCCAAGTTGCTACTTTTATTTCTTTCATGTTAGAAGTTTCTCTCATCCTTTGTTCTGTTCATATTTAAGAGTGGGACACTAATAAAGGTTAACAATATAGGCCATACTGTTTGACTTTGGACTTCCCTGTAGGGTGATCTGGCCAGCCTATTCAGCTAAGAAACCCACAATCTTCTTGGCGCTATTAGATTCCCTAGAGAATAATCTTTCAAACTCCAACCTGAGTTGGAGTTCCAACCCCACGATCAGCTGTCGGAAGTGAAGAAGCAAGGCTGGGAGTCTCAGCATCATGTATGCAAGCATTCCATTCACATTTAGTTGCAGCATTCAGCATGTAAACATTCAGTTACCCCTTCCTTCAGATATAAAAACCTGCCCCAATTATTCTTGGAAATCTTCTATTTCAGTCTTTCTAATGAAGAAATCTCTACTCTCCTCTTCTGGGTAGTAAATAATACGGTAAATAATTGGTCGTATTATTTACTACCAATGCTATGACCTGAGGTGGCTCTCTAAGCCTCAATTTTCTCATCTATATAATAGGGGTAAAATGGTAGCGATCCCATAGGGTTTTGGTGAGAGGACAAAATGCATGTAAAGTGCTTAGCACCGTGAAAGCTCAGTAACTGCTTGCTGCTGAATGCACCAAGCAATAAAATCTTGCATAAGGCTTACCATGTACAAGCGCTACTCTAAGAACTTGATACATGCTGATTTTTTCAATCCCCACAACTATAACAAAGAAAGATATTATTATTATTATCTTCATTTTACAGGTAAAACTGAAGCGGAGAGTTTCACAACTTGCGTAAGGTTAGGCAGCTACTAAGAGAGTAGATTTGAATTGCAATCGGCCTGGAGGTAGTCTTCACCCTTAACCTGCAATCAGCCTGGAGAAATCTCTAGTCTCCTGGGTAGGGAAGGAGCATTTGCCTTCCTGGAGGAAGAGTCCTTACTATATTGCATCTGCTGAATTGACAAACTTTGTTAGGAAAGAAGAAAAGTGAGGCGTGGGCAGTCCTGGTAACGTCAAATGGTTTGAGATGTTAAGGAGCACCCGAGTATCTCAGATAAAAGCTAACCTCGTGCTCCCCCGCTCCATCCCCGTTTAAGATGCACTGATAAGCCTTTAATAAAACTTCAAGTTTACTCTTAGCAGGTTTTACATTTGATCACATCTTCTGAAAATTCTTACTATCAGTCTCATACACAGCGAGGTGGATTAATTAGAGGCAAGGGCGATAGGAAACTGGACACACGTCCTCAGCAAGCACAGGTGCAGCACCATATGGCTGACTCACCGGAGGTTTTCTTAAAAAAGAAAAAGAACATCTGATCAGTACTAAGATGTGGCCTTGCCCATTTGGGAACGGGATCCCCCCCCCCCCAAGAAAAGGGTGGCGGGAGTCCGCATGAGCGGGACGTGGGGAGCGCCTCACTCCTCATCTCACGGAGCCTGACCTCGTCCACCTCGCCTGCCTCGGACTGGCGACGCAGGTTACCTGTAGGGATTCGAGTCCACCACCTCTGGGCTCATCTTCTCTATGCGGGCCCGGCCGCCCCCTACGTCGCCGCTCCCCGACAGCCGCCGACTTCTCTCCTGGGCAAGTTCCCGCTCCAGCTCCTGGACCCGCTGCTGCAGCCGCTCCACAGACTCCGCCATGGCTGGGACTCCGGCCGCCAACGCTCCCAGCCCGGGCCTTCGCCGCCGCCTTCGCCCCACGCTGCTCGGCTGGGCCCGCGAGGGGTCCGTGGGGAGGCACCTAGCCGCTGCCTTCCTAATCCAGAGCCCTTGGGAAGTGCCCCCAGCACCTCACAAACAGACACGTCTCTGCCACTCCTACGGGCCTTACTCGGAGCCGCTTCCGGTGCGTCGCAGACATCGCTCCCCCTCAGCAAAAACCTGGCTCTTTCGGCTTCCTTCTTCGCTGGGTCTGCTAAACCCGGCCGCAGCAGGATCGGGGTGATAAGTGTCCAGAGCAGGCGGCCTGCGATGTTGCCTTTCTAACCTGGTGTCTAGGAGAAACAGGATCTCTTATTCTTGGGCTCGAAGTCCTGACGGGCCTTTTTCTGAACTGGACCCTGCAGGTCTTCCGCCTGCTGATGCATTACATTTGCGGGTGGAAGAGGCTTCTGCATTGTTCATTGCCCGTAACGATGACCATGGCTTTGCTTTCTTTGAAATTGAGGGCTCCAACTCTGACGCTGACTGGAGAATTGAAATCGGAACACACATTGGGCTCTTCTGGCACTTGGCTAGAGCTAAAACTTCCAGATTCAGTGGGCCGGCGTTGCTCAGCAACGGCGCGTAGCCTGTGTGTGGTTGGCTAAAGCCAGACCCCGCCCCGGCCTGCCCCAACCCTGAAGGAATTCGGCACTCTAGACCTGTGGATTCCGCGTTGCTGTGGCCTGAGGGGCGATCATGAAGCTAGGGGCCACTGGCAAGACCGATTTGGTCGAAGTGCTGCCACAGCACAAGTTCGACCGCAAGTCCCTGGAGGCCTACCTAAACCAGCACTTGCCTGGCTTTGGGGCGGAACATGAGGCTACGCTGACCATTGCTCAATACAGGTATCGACCCCAGGCTTTGCCTACAGCGGAAACAAATCTGTGCTTTGCGTTTTCCTTCCTTTGGCCCTGGGTGGCTTACTAAATTTCTCCCATCCCGATTGTTTTTCCTACCGTCGGTGAACTCACCCTGCAGGCCTGAGCTGCTATTGCCGGCCTCCCTGAATTCGATGCTGTGGGGTCTTCCCAGTTGGAGGGCAGTAATGGAAGCTCAATAACGTTCACCATTCCACTCTCCAAGGGAATCTTTGTTCAAGGATGGATTTATGTCCCTTGAGGATTCTCTAAGGCAATTAAGGCTAGAAACTCTGAGGAATAGATGCCTTCTCGGACCTTTTGTGATATAACTCTTAGATCTTTTTCTGAGAAGCTGGTGTATTTCCGTTTGATTGGCGGTATTCTGGGAAGCTGAGTTAATGACACCAGAAGGAGGATCCGAGTTCGAGGACTACTAGCTCTTCCACTTAGGAGGTCACAGCACCACTTTGGGCCTCAGGTTTTTTGAAGCGAGGTAATGGAACTGGGTGAGAGGATCCTGAGAGTACCGTTCCTCACCGAGAATCTGGCTTTAGTCTGATGTTTTCTAATAGACAATACATTCTTAAAACTTTATTCTAAAAGTAGCATTGTTTCTAATACAGGGCTATAGAAAGAGTCCTATCATTCAGAAAACTGAATCTGTCATTTGCTGTCTGTGAGTTTAAATATGTTATCTAAACTCTCTGAGAACTAGCTTCCTAAATTGTAATACCTGACTCTACTGATTAGTCTTATTAATGATATGAAGTAAAGTAATATAGGTGAAAGGGCATGAAAATTGCAATAACACAGTATAGTAGTGGCATTTTATCACTGGCATTTATATTCTTTAACTACTGATTTTGGTGAAAGTGAAAACAGTAGAAAAGGAGATGGATCCGGGAACATTTTAGGGTATAGAATTAAAAAGTCCCATGTCCCTATAGATATTGGATGATGAAGGAAAAGATGGAATAAAGAATAGCTGAGATTTCTAGGCTAGAAGTCTCATGCTATAACAAACTAAAGCAGATCAAATTTCAAATTCCAACTATTCTGTTTACTGTGGAATTTGGATGTGTTACCCTTTGAGCATCTAGTCCTGCTCTGGCAAAAAGGAGATAGTAACATTCATATTCTAGGGTTGTTGAAGAAGTACATAACTGGAATATACTTAATTCTGAACCAAGCTGAATGTTAAACCATTGTATACGCTTGGTTTAATAAATATGTATGGCACTTTGGATCCCACCGGGAACACACATTCATTTCTAGGACACATGAAAAAGTTTATGAAAATTTGAAAACACATAGGCCATGAAGGAAGTCTCAAATTCAAAAGAATCAATCTTTGTATTTTGAAAATGTGCTTTCTGGCCAAGTGTGGTGGCTCACACCTGTAATCCCAGCACTTTAGGAAGCTAAGGTGGCTGGATCACTTGAGGTCAGGAGTTTGAGACCAGCCTGGCCAACATGGTGAAACCCCATCTCTACTAAAGATACAAAAATTAGCTGGGCATGGTGGCGCACGCTGGTAATCCCAGCTACTTGGGAGGCTGAGGCAGGAGAATCCCTTGAACTGGGAGAGAGACATTGCAGTGAGCCGAGATTGCACCACCACATTCCAACTTGGGTGACAGAGGGAGACTCCGTCTCAAAAAAAAAAGAAAAAGAAAAAGCAATTTTTTTTAATGCCAAAAGTTTAACAGAAGACAGCTAGCATGTGTTTAGAAATTAATTGATTCATGGATTAAAGATCCAATAATCTACTCAGACAATAAAAGGCTATCAAAGTTCAGTGTACAGAAATCAGCTGCATTTCTCTACTTTAGCAACAATTAAAATGTCATTTCAAAAAGAGCATCAAAATGCAAATTACCTAAACAAAAGATGTCAAGACCTTTGTAAAGAAATGGTAAAACTTTTATTAGGACCTTAAAAAGAATTTTAGAAATTAAAAGATGCTATGTTATTGGATAGAAATATTCAGTATTGCAAACATTTTTCTTCTTATCGATCTATTGATGCAAAGCAATGGCAATCAAAATCCTAATTTTTTTCTCTAATTTGAAAAAGTGCTCCTAAATTTTATGTGTAAAAGTGAAGGATTAAAGATAGCAGAAACATTTCTAAAGAACCCTAAGGTGGGAAATTTGAATTAAGATGGCATGATATTAGCACAGAGATAGACAAACAGACCAATGAAATAGAATGGAGAGTTCACAGAAAGACCCACATATTTATAAAAGTTTGATACGTGACAGTGTTGGCATTGAGAGTCAGTGGGGGGAATAAAGAACTTTTTGAGAAGTTATACTGGAATAATTGTTATCTGTATGAAGAAACAGAAATTAGACTCTTTATCTCATACAGTGTCAGGTAAATAAAAGAATTGAATGTTCAAGGCCAAACTATAAATGTTTGGAAGACATGTAAGTTAGTTTTATGATGTTAGAGAAGAAAACTTTTTAAAGACAAAAGCAGAAACCACAAAGGAAATGATTGATAAATTTTCATTAAAAGACTACTTAAAGTGAAAAGGCCCAGATGTCTGGGAACTTGCTAAGAATGTTAGGTAAGGTAGGTTTTACAGGGAGTTAGTTCATTTTGACAGAGCTGGGGGTTTGGATTTATATTGCATTGAACAAAACACAGTTAATTGGCTTTATTGTACAGCAATTGTAAATAATTAATTTCCCTCTTCATAGGAACTGAAATACAGATGACTATAGAAAAGCAGATTTGAGGAGGAATTTGAGGAACTCAGTTTTGGAGTGTTAAGTTTCAAGATGCCTTTTAGACATTCAAGTAGATATGTATAGTAAACAGTTGGATATGTCTTGAGGTCAGAGCAGAGATCTGGATGAGACATGTAAATTTGGGAGTCATCAACAAAAAGAATATATTTAAAGACATGAGATCGAAGGTCTTACTTAGAAAATAGTCCATGGGGGGAAACCATGGTTTGTATTAGTGATCTTGAAAAAGTAGTAATAATGGAAAGAAAGAAATGAAAGCTTGCTTGAAATGGGTTTAAGAGGATAGGAAGAGGACATGTAAAAAACTCTTGAGGAGTGTTTATACAAAAGGAAATCGAAATGTTTTAAGTAGAGAGGGAAGTGAGGTCAAGCGAAGGCTTTTTTTTTAAATAACAGCATGTTTGTATGCTGATGACACTAATCTAGAAGAAAGAAAATTTTGTGCAGGAGAGAGGGCTGGAAAGAAGTCCTTAAGAAGGCGGGAATCTAATAAACAAGAGAAGGGATTGCCCTTAGATAGAAATGTGCACATCCTTCTCCAGACTCTGGAGGGAAGACAGAATAAATGGGTATTGATGGTTGCATGTAGTAGATACAGTAGTGTAAGCTTGTGGAAGTTCTCATATGATTGCTCCTATTTGCTCCATGAAATCAGAAACTAGGTAATTAATTAGCTGAGAATGAAGATGGAGAAGAAAGTGTTTGAGATTTAAGGAAAGAGAATTATGAAACTCCCATCCAAGAGAATGGGAGAATGAATGAGCTATGACTGCCAGATGCGGTTCACTTTGAGGTTTGCCATCATGAATTTGAAGCAGATTAGATATTTCAGTAGATATTATTAATGCTTTGTCCAGATCCTCTTGGATTCATTTTTAGTGTTGATGTACATGTCCTGCCTTTGTTGGGTTTTGCTTCCAATAAACAGCATCTGTGGCTCTTTTTTGGCAAACTGCCCGTGGACTACTGGAGCACCCTTTGCCCTTACTGTTGTAATACCTAAAATGGACCTTAACCGATAGTGATTCAGGAGTATGAAATCTTTATTATTCTTGCTTCAGAAACATGTTTTAAACTCTGACATAGCAGAGTTCCCCCATTACCTTTACCCCCAACCCTCACACTGGTGAGATCAGACTGCAGCTACCCTCTAAGGGACTTTGTCTTAGATCACACCCTTGCTTGGCTTTCTCCCCTTCCGTGACCTGCTTCCCCATATTTCTTATTAGTTCTTTAAACATTTCCTCAATAAGTCACTTGTATACAATTTTTCCCCATGATCTGGTTATTGATAACCTAACCTAAAACAATAATTATG